TGAACCTCATCTCTAGGGGCCTGCCAGGACTTGAGTCTACTTGCAGATCTAGAAACAAAGAGGGGTGTTGGTGGTGGGTTCCGAAGAGAATCAGCATTTTCTTGCCTGGCAACTGCCTCAGGGGAGACCACTGTAGCCTCAAAAGTGCAGGGTTAATCTCCTAAGACAAAGGTGGAAAGGCTGATGGCAGCCTGGGTATAGGGGAAGGGATATTACCACCACTGGGGATAGGGAGGCTGTTTCCTCTGGCAATAAAAGCTGTCAGAGTTTACAAGCTCAGTGCCCCCAGTTTCATCAGCGTCCTCCCACACATCCCCATTCCAAGTTGCAGGGTTCCATTCTTTTCCAATCAATGCCCTCACTTTAACAGTAGATACCTAGCAAGACTATGCATGCACCTTTCCTTGCAGGCCAGCCACTTGCATGATAAGAGCTTGTGTCTGATTTTCCGAAACATCAGCCCTTTGTCTACAGGAGTTAAGACTCTCAGAGCAATCTTAGAAGCTTGAGGCTCAATAAGTGCTTCTGGAGCCGGGAGTTAGAATCCCTGAGCTCATCCTTTTCTTTTATCACTTTCTCCAGCAAACTTAGGAGCAACCAACCAACTTCATTATATTCCTTGGTTCTCCACATATGGTAAAAGGTATTATATATAGGGTCACTAAACTCCCTTCCCCTCAAGAGCAATGAATCAGGAATATTAAATACATCTATTTTGCATAATTCTCTAAACAGTTCATACCAAGGACTATCAGTGTTCTCTGTACTATTAGAAGTAGAGTCCTTAGCATTTTTTGGGTCTAATCAGATTAAGCAGCCAACTCCAGAAACCCCAAAACCAACTAAGGAAATCCATCCTTAAAATTCTGTCCCTCTAGAACCACTCCTGGTACCAAAATCTGTCAGGGTTTTTTAGCGGAACAGAGCTAATAGGGTAAATGTGATCTCACATGATCACTAGGCAAAGTTCCACAACAGGCCTTCTGCAAGCTGAGGAGCAAGGAAGCCAGTAGTGGCTCAGTCCGAGTCCCAAATTCTCAAAAGTAGGGAAGCCGACAGCGTGGCCTTCAGTCTGTGGCCAAAGACCTGAGAGCCCCTGCAAAGCCACTGATGTAAGTCCAAGTGTCCAAAAGCCGAAGAACTTGGAGTCTGATGTTAAGAGAGCAGGAAGCATCCAGCGCAGGAGGAGATGAAAGCCGGAAGACTCAGCAAGTCTGCTGCTTTCACGTTCTTCTGCCTGCTTTTTCTAGCTGAGCTGGCAGCCAGTTAGATGGTGCTCACCCACATTGAGGTTGGGTCTTCCTCTCCCAGTCCACTGACTCAAATGTTAGTCTCCTCCGGCAACACCCAGAAACAATACTTTGCATACTTCATTCCAATCAAGTTGAGAGTATTAACCATCAAAAGAATTAGAGTAAAACTATGAAACCACCTAGAGCACCCCTTAAATGGTGTTCCTACTGCCTACATTACTGTCTGTCCCATTTCTCTCCCTTTTCTATAGGGACAAACACACATTCATCCTTCAAAATCTACCTCAGGCATCATCTCTCTGAAGCCCTACTTGCCCATCATATATGGGCTGCAAGTATCGCATATACTTTAATATATATTACATAAGCTGAATTATTTGGTCACTGCTTATGACTTGCAAGAGCTGAGAAATCATCATGGGTGGGTCCTGGCTAAGGTAGAGATTTTCTTGAAAGCTCAAATACCCCATGGAATTTTAGCTCCTGAAGAGGCTTCAAGAGGTTACCTGGCCCGCTTTCTGACCTTACTGCATCTTGTCTTTTCCTGAAAAGCTAAGATTCTTCAAACAGGATTCTATAGCCTTCTGCAGTTAACTGCCCCAGTATTTATGCATTCTTTTTTTTTTTTTTTTTTTTTTTTTTTTTTTTTTTTTTTTTTTTTTTTTTTTTTTTTTTTTTTTTTTTTTTTTTTTT